GGGGAGTCCCCTGCCCAGGCCTGACTCCTGGGCCAGAGGCATCAGGCCGGGGCTGGGGGCAGAACCAGTGATGGGGGGAAATGAGGGTCCCCTGCCCAGGCCTGACGCCTCTGCCAGAGGCGTCAGGCCTAGGCAAGGGGCCGATCCTGCAATTGGATATTGATGGGGGTCAATGCCTGAGGGCTCCCAGTATGTGAGAGGGGGCAGGCTGGGCTGAGGGACACTCCCCCCCCACACACACCCAGTGCACAAATTTCGTGCACCGGGCCCCTAGTGTATATATATATAATATTTTAGAGTCCCGGTGCATGAAAATTCATGCACTGGAGGGGGGGTCCCTCTGCCCTGCCTGCTCACAGTTCGGGAGCACTAAGGGGTGGGAGGAGACCCGGCCATCAGGGGAAGGCGATGCCCCCATCACACCTCTGCTGCTGCCAGTGCTGGCAGAGCAAGCCTCAGCTTGCCCTGGTTACCTGAGCCTCAGGCGGTCCTGGGTGGCTGGGCAGCTGACATCCGAGGCTTGCCTGCACCTCAGGCTGGCCCTGAGCGGCTGGGGGGCTGAGGGTGGGTCCGGCCACACCACGGGCCTGCCACCCCTGGCGGGGCTGAAAGGACTGGGGGACTCCAGCAGGGCTGAGGGGACTGGGCACCACCATCTTGTGGCTATGGGCACCGCCATCTTTGTGACTGTGTGATGGTCAATTTGCATATTCTTTCTATTAGATAGGATGCTGCCATATACTGACATACATATAGAAAGTAGTTGGAAGGTATACATTAACATTATCAGTAATTATATACTAGTAATGGAATTATGGGTAATGTATTATTATTATTTTTTACCTATTTCTTGTTTGTAAGATAAGCATGATACTTTGATAATAAGGAACAAAGCTTAAGAAAATAAAGAAAAGTTCATTGTGCTCAGCACACTCTTCTGTGCTGTGTATGAAATTAGATCTCAATCTCACCTTGACCCCTGATGAGGTTGTCCCACTCACAGACTTGAAATCACAAACTATGTAGGCTACAAGGTATGTACTCATTTTTACAGTAGTTTCAAAATGATCTTCCAAGAGGCCTCCTTCAAGTTCAATCGTCTTAACCTACAGGAAGGGAAAGAATCAGTATCTGAAAGTTGGAGTATTTTTCACCAGTGCCTATGACGTAAGCCAGGTAAGTCAGAGGAGAGCCTGACACTCTGAAGGACCTGATGCCCTTTTAGGAGGGAGTAGCATTCTATGGTCTCTCCTCCCTTTATTTTCTTATCCCTGGACTTTCCTGAAGATACATTGCACTAATTTTGAGATCCCAAAATGTATGCCAGTTTTATTTGCTTGGAAATGTATTTGCTTATATTGCTTGAGAGCATAATAGCAGCTTAGATGCTTCTATTTTCTTGAAATGCAATAATCTCCAAATTGCCATAAATTCAAGTTCTGTACTTCTAAGGAAAAATACCAGAGAATGTCCCCCTTTCCCTTGTTATATAATAAGTAAATCTCTGTTGCAGAAGGAAATGGGAAGCAAAACTGTGCTAAATGATTTGCATTATCTTTTAATCCTGTTATCGTGTGTGTGTGTGTGTGTGTGTGTGTGTGTGTGTGTGTGTGGTAGGTGTTATTTCACAAGTGAGGAAACAGAGTCTTAAAAATATGAACTGAATTGCCCAAGATCACAAGGCAAGTTCCACAGCAAGGCCAAGATGTGGATGTGACCGTGTGGTGTGACTCCAAAGGCATTGCTCATTCTTTCACCTCGCTGTGTGACAGCTTTAGTCACAGTCTTATTTTTATCTTTGCTTCATTGATTTCACAACGAAAGCAGTCAGGCCAAGGAGGTCATTAGTAATTTAAGCTCCTGTCCATGGACTGAGGAAGCAAAAGTTTTAAGCCTACAGACTCGTCAGCTGCATCTCTCAAATTCACTGAATAATTACTGAGTTCTATCTTTATTTGCACTGAAGAGCTAGTCCCAGAAATGATCTCCAATATGGTACAATACCCCTGAATACTGAATGGGTCAGATTCAGTAATCTGAAAATACCACTTTCTTCAAATTGGTGACAACTCTTGGGCTAGCTTGCTCCCCTCCTCATAACCTTCCACCCCGCTTTGCAAAGTGTCAGGCTTGGGGCCGTGCTAACCAGGCCTTCTTGAGCATGTTTTATGTGTTTGGTTAAGATTATAGTTTGCTTTGGCAAGAGACAATAGCTTGAAATATTACCATAAACTGCCTAGCCTACTTCGATGACAAATGTTTGTGCTATTAAATTCTACATGATTTAATTCTACAGATTTCTATCAAAGCATTCAGTTCCTAAGTTCCTATAAAGCAGAAGACACTGACCACATACTCTAAGAAAGTTAGCAGTATATTCTGGGCTGTAATTACTTCTTTCCAGCAAATTCATTTTGCTCAATAATAATCTCTTTCTTTATGAGTCTGATGCAAGCAGAGTTCTATGGATACGTACTCCTAGCAAAAAAGAGGGTTATCGAAGAGGGGGTCAGGGAGAAGGCATTGACTGTAGTCTTCTGACCAAACTCGGCAGCAA